AAAAAGTACTTTTCATCCATTTTTTCAATAAAATGACGATTTTACCCTCCTGTTGAAATAAAACAAAAAAGAAAAGAAAAAAATAATTAATTAATTACAATCATAGTTCTAAATCTTTCAAAACATTACAGATAAATCCTAAATTCTCCACTACCGCCACTTTCACAACCCCACCAAGCCACCACCTATAGATCTATATAGCACCACTTTTCGACCACAACACCTATCGAACTCCACCACCACCAGCATCGCATCACTCTCCCCAATATCCTCCTCCATAGTATTGGTCACCAATCTGTCCGAAACAACCACATTTACGGTGGTGGAGTCCGGTGGGCATGGTGGCCAAAAGGTGGTATTATGTGGATTTATAGTTGGCAGCTTGATATGTTGTGAAAATGGTGGTGGTTGAGAATTTATGATTTTTTTGTAATTTTTTAAAAATTTAAGGACTATGGTTGTAGTTGGTAATTCATCTTTTCTTTTTGTTTTATTGGAATAGGAGAGTAAAATCATCATTTTATTGAAAAAATGGATGAGAAGGACCTTTTTTGCAATGAAAGGTGAAAGGTAGGGGTGAAAATGCTAAAAAATAAAAGATAGGGATGTTTTCACAATAACATTGAAAGGTAAGGACCTTTTGTGCTAATTATGCCAAAAAAGAAAGGTAGGGACGTTTTGCACAATAATATTGAAAGGTAGGGACCTTTTGTGTTAATTACCTATTGATTTAACGGAACATTTTAACGGGAACTTGACAGAATGACGTTTTGCGTAAAAAAGGTAAAGGTGAGGGTGTAATCCGCCAAAAAACGAAAGGTATGGACGTTTTCCACAAAAATATCGAAAGGTAGAGACTTTTTGTGCTAATTACCGTAACGGAAAACACAATATTGTTTCACGCATGAGTGGACCGCCCATCATGCAATAAGTAGCCCTCATGCCCATCACGCGAGCCTGGTGTGGTGTGGCATGGGAGAGGGACGCGTGACAAAGCGAAGAGGAAATTACACATAAGCGAGTCTTTTAAGTTTTCCAATTTAAAAATCAGGTGTAATTTAATTGACCAAAAATCATGTATTAATTGAATTATTAATAATTGTTAGGTAATTTGTTGTCAAACGACCTCGTCGGGCGATGATGTAACCTCGGTTCTTATTATCAATCGGCTTTGGCCATATGATTGACTAGTACATCGACACAATTATCGAGACAACACTATCTACATTGTTATGGATCGTTCGAAGCAACCTATTTTAAATAGTGTTGCTCACGATTTCCTTGGAAGGCTATATTATTATTTTGAAGCCCACTTTAATTGAGTCGAGCCTTGTTTTTGGTCCACAATTTAACCCTAACCTAACTTACTTATTTTGGACATTTACTTGGCATATAATCCCTCCTTCCTCTCGACCTCCTATAGTGTGCCTATTTTTCCCTTCTCTTTGTGAGACTCCACTTCTCGGCTTCTTGATATACTTCACTGTGACCTTTGTGGTTAATCCTTTTGTGAGCACATCATTGGACTTCACTTCCAACCTATAGCAATCGGAGTGAGGGTGGCGGCAGTGGTGGTTCTTGGAGTTGTCTCAACCTTTGTGGTGTCGATAAATTGGTAAACTGAGCCCGATTTTGTACTTGGAGTTTGGTGGAAATCAACCCTACATCTGGTATCAGAGCCGAAGTAACTTTCCCCGGCCTAAAAATCACCAAAAATCGGCGGTGGAGTCGCGAGTTTTGGTGTAAAATCATGACCGCAATCCCCTTTTTCGGCCAATCCAGTCACTTTCTGATGAAACCGATCCCATATTCGGAACCAGCAGGCTGAGGCGCCCCTTCATGTGTGGGCGGCGGCAGCGCGTGGCAGCTATTTCGGGCGAACTTCCTTCTGGCATTTTGCTCATTTTAATCTCCTGAACGTACTGACACTGTTTATTTTCTGTTTCAGGTTACACAGAAAAAGTTGGACAATTTTGCCCCCGGTAGATCGACGTTTGAAACTGCATATATCTACTGCATTACTTTAGGCCAAGATTGTGGCCCTAAAACAGTAGATTCGTATCTCTCTCGATTATACGGACTCAGACACGTCCGCTCTGGTAAATTGGCTTAACCCGTTAATTTTTCAGCATTAGCGCGTCACCGTGTGGGGTGACATTAAGTTGGGGGTTGTCATTGCTTGGAAACCATTGCTTGTGCTAGAATTAGGGTTACGTGCTCTTGATTGATCTTTTTTTTTGATTGAGTATTTGTTTTTGGTGAAAATCAGTTTTGTAATTCTTAGTGATCTAATTACTGTGGGTCTAGTTATCTGCTAGACGTATTTTTTGCTGCATTGTTATTTCCACTGCTTACTTATTCCGTTAGAAATA